TGAATGTATTGAACGAAGTTCCTGCCTAGGCTTGTATTGCTTTTGGATATCCAGAATTAAACCTTGCTTTTGCATTCCAGCATGCTCATCTTTGGTGGTCTCTCTGAGGGTCACAATCTGGTCACAACATTAACCCTTCAAATTTAAGGTTTTCTTGTAGTGTCTTCTGTAGAACTGCATGAGTAGAGAGAAATAGTTAAAACATGTTTTTATCATGAAATGTTTTCTTTCTCTGTAGATTGTGATTGATATTTTTGCTGGGAATAGCTGTCTAGCATGACATCTGTGCTTTTCAGAGTTTGTAGAACATTTGCCCAGACACTTCTTTTCAGAGTCTGAATTGAAAAGTAGGTATTATTATAATACGTCTGCCTTTATAAGTGACTTCAGTTTTTTATTGTTTGTTTGTTTGTTTTTACCTTGCAGCTTTTAATAGCCTTTCTTTGTTCTGTACATTTAAGTTTGAATTATTATATACCATGGAAATGTTCTTTTCTGGTCTTGTCTATTTGGTGTTCTGTATGCCTCTTGTACCCTGATAAGCATCTCTTTCTTTACAGCAGCAATTTCTCTATGATTTTGTTACAATATTTTCTCTGCCTTTGAACTGGATTCTTCTCCTTCCTCATAATGGAAACTGATAAGAATGCTCCTGGTCTTTCTCTATACTTTAAGTGGCCTTAAGTTTGGGTAGGAGAGAAGTTGAGTCCTTATGTAAGCATCAGGGAGACTGTAGCTTCCTCCAGATCAAAATCATTCACCTTACAGGAAAGTTTGGTAAGACACAGGGTGTTAACAGAAGGATACACGTGGCAAGCCACAAGAATATGTTATAAGGAGTCCAGCTGTGTATTAAAGCTATACCTTGACCAGGCCAAGGGTCTGTCAAGCGGGAAGCCATTTATCATGAACTATTTGGTGTTACACAGCTTAATATTCAGCTGTCCCTTGTTATGAATTGCTTGCATTCACAATTCCCATAGAATGTGGGTGTGAGCTTCTTTGCTCAGGCCAGTACTTGGATAAGGCAACATAGGCAAAGACAAGCTGGCTGGAGATGCATACCTTTGTTTGTTGTGCAATGAAACTCAGACCATCCCTTTGCCTTGAGGCCTAGTGGCTTTCCAGAGCAATTGACTATAACAAAAGAGATTTTTACATATCAAGGTGGAAGGTAGTGTGGAGCAACATTCCAGAGGAGAGAGAGAACCACATGGCAAGGGGAAGAAGACACAGGCATTTTCTGTAGAGGCAGACAGAATGGCATGACCAGGGAGAAGGGAATAACACAGAGGTCTTGTAGATAGTAAGGCAGAAAGCCTGGTAGAGTTCATCGGAGCCAGGAGTTAAGAACAAGTAGAGATGGAGGATGAAGAAACAGAGGACGAAGATGAGGCTGGAAGCATAAGAGCTTAGTTGCTAGCAGGACTATGAGAGGGCAATAAATGAGGGGACAAAAAGAAACTGAGTGTCAGGACAGAACTGAAGCTATGTAGACAGGATTTCATTCCAGAGAAATAAAGTAGATGGATGAAGAGTGTAAGGAACACATGTTAGGCCTAGGATGAACAACCCTGGTCAGGAGTGATAAGCAATAGAATGACATAAGTAAACCACAAATGGAGTAGTGATAAGCTAAAAGCTATGTGTGGAAGTAGGGATAAGACTAGATACCTAGCCAGAAAAGAATATAAAAGATGAAGCCTCAGACCCAACCAACAGAGCTCATCAGGCCCTCGCATGAGTCGACTCTCCTCCACCAGAGGCGTGAGATCCTGTCCGAAGTGCAGACCCAACATCCAGAGGAACAGACCTGGTGAGTCCACACCTGTACACCTAAAGAGGTACTCCCGCTTCCATTTGGAAGACGGGATGAATATTGCTTGTAATCGTACTGTGTAAATAAATGAATATTATACCAAGTCTGAATTAAAAGTGATTATTCCTCCCCAGTAACCAGGGTATGTGCTCGCTACAAAGAGCTTGGTGTATCTAGATTTATTCGTGTCCTGAATGCCTGACAGAGCTATAGCTGAATAGATAGAATTTTGTTTTAGAGGAGTGAAGTTAACAGACATAAGAGCATAGTATACATAGATTTCTTCCCTCAGATATCCAACACTGGATGTGGTATCTTCCCCAGACTCTGGGGAATCTGTAGACACAGAATAGTAGAATAGTCTCAGAATGGGTGAAATCTCACATCAGGCAAGAAAGATCTTTAAGATGAAGTAAACAACTTAGAGGCTTCAGGAAGTCCCTGAAACCAGATATAATAGGGTCCTCCATCCCCAAGAATATACACATTGTAAGCAGTTGTGCTAGACATTCTCATATAAGCTGATATGCCTGGAAACTGTTGAGACCAGCCATGCTGTCCTGAAGAGGCTCAGACCAACTCAACTACCTAAAAAGGACACTCTCCAATGCATTGTACTGTCTGCACATTGTCAAGGGTGCCCCAGGATTCTTGCTATCATGAGCTGTTACTCATTTTGAATTTACTGGTGACATAGCTGTCTTTGAGTCATTTCTGCTCCTGTAAGTAACACCTCATCAATATTCCTATAATAAACACAACAGTAAATAAATAAATCCCATTGGCTCACCAAATTGGACTTCAGTTGTACCTGAACTTTGGCCTGGGGTGAGTAGACATTTGTTTCCACCTCCCCAGGAATATTGTCATACAAAGTAGAGGATAGATCCAGCCTACTGTATGTAGGTAGATTCCGCACTGTTACTCTCTTCTTTCTTAAATAGCATTTGGGGATTATATAAATTGAAACCTTAGGTCTATATAAGACAAAATTCTCTGTCTCTGACACATAATTTTCTTCTGTCTTAGTGTGTTTTCTGTTGTGTCAGGACACTACAGATACAGTGTTAATTACGGAAAATAAATGTAATACATTTCTGCAAGCTTGGGAATCCAAGAACTAATCTTTGGCATTTGATGATATTTCTTTCTGTATCTTTGTTACAGGATGTTGTGGTGGTTAGAGTCAAAGCCAGGTGTTTCCAAACTCTTGCCTTTCATTGAAAGATTTAGGGTAAAGGCTCACACAGATTTTAAAGAAGCAGTGAAACTTTATTTAAAGCAAAGCGACAGTAGAGATCAGGAAGGAACATGTGTGAAGAGCATCCGTGGGCCATGTGAGGAAAGGTGCTCAAGGGCCACGGTTTTTGTTTGGAGCAACTTTCATGGAGTTCAAGAGAAGGAGGAGTTGGGTGCTGAAGGGGACTGACACTGGTTGATCTTTGTTTCAACTGATGGGCTTAGTTTAGGTACGCATTTACTACCTGTGCATGTACCTTTCCACACAGTATTTTATTTTGATTATATTCACACAATTATACCTAGGAAGAAGTTGGTAAATAGGATATTCATCATAAAAGTTCCCTTTGAGGACACAAGTTGTCTTGTGCAAGTCCCCAAACTAGTCCAGGCTGGATCTGATCATCTTTCTTGGTATCAAAAATGTTCTGTGACATATTTGAATATAAATGTTTTATGAAGGTATTTCTAAGGGCAGTAATCATTTTCATTGTTTGCAACATAGATATTTGCAACCTGATGTATGCGGGTATCCATGTTGCCAATAGTTTTCAGGTATATGTTAGAAGAACATTGTGTGTACACAAGAGATGGAGATATTGGTCTCTGGCTGGGAAGTGCAATTGTGGTTATCAGACAAAAGTGAAGCCTCAAAATGCTAAAATGTACCCCATGCTAGCCTGTCTCATCCCTATGTGCTGGAAGAGCAAAATTAAACAAAACAAACAATAAAAGAAAAACAAGCAAACAGAATTCCCTTCTACAAATGCTTTTCTAGTGACATTGATCTATTGATGGGAAGTGACTATGAACTAAACACAGCCCATTAAGCCCACACTTCCAGGATCATTAAATGGGAAATAAGATATGGATTTCCAAGATGAAAGATGCACTCATCCTTAGCTCTTCCCTCTTCCTGCCTTTATTTCTTCTTTTCTCACCTTTTCTGTGCTCCTTAATCCATGTCAGATCATTGCCCCATGTGGCTATTAATACTGATTGTAAACCTGACAGATCTAGTATCACTTATGAGAATGCTTTGAACACATGCACCAGGGGCTTCCTAGACTTGGTTAAGTAATTTGGAAACACTCACCTTAAGTGTGAGTGGTATTGTTGAATAAGTTCAGGTCCTGAAGTGAGTAAAAAGAGAGAGACAGAGATAGAGACGTAAGGACCAAAACAGCTCTAGAACTCACCTCTTTCTGAGTCCTGCTGTAAACAAAAAGTGACCAGCCATCTCACCCTTCTCTACCATTAAATCATGAGCAAAACCAAACCCACTCTTTCTCCAGTTTCTTAGGTCAGATATGATTTCACAGCAGCGAGAGAAGTAGACAAAACCCCAGCAAGACCTTTCTGGGAATCCTGACAAATTTCTTAATTCCTTTTTCATAGGGCTTCCTCATTTTGAAGGTTTCCAGTGACATTAGTTCATTCTAGAATTGGAGTTGAGATTCCTTACTGCTGTAGATTGTATTCCTCACTCTTAACACCCAAATTTGTGAATTCTTTGCTCAAATAAAGAAACTGTATAACAGTCACAATTACTCAGTGAAAAGCATCTGAAAACTTGTCAGGTCCTCAACAAACTAGTTTGGGAAACTGCACTCAAGGCTGAATTCAATCTTCTCCTGTGTATTACTAATATTTGGTTTTTCTGGGCAGGACACAGTCTATTTGTTCTTGAACAAGCTTTTTCCTTAAACATCACACTTGAAGCCTGTGAATCACTAATATTTTATTTTAGAGCAACTTGAAATGGTTTAAAGATATTCCCAAGGAATCACTGCTTTATCGAAAATTGGATTTTTTTAGAAGTTATATATACATATATATAACTTATATATAAGAATTATAAAAGTTTAGATACAAAATATGGAATTTTGATAATACAAAAATGTATAAAGAATATGAAAAAGCACCATTTCCTAGATATAATAGCAGGCAGGGCAGTGGTGGCACTGGGATGCCTTTCATCCCAGCACATGGAAGTCAGGGGCAGGCAGATCCTTGAGTTCCAGGACATTTGGTCTACAAAGTGATTTCCAGGATAGCAAGGACTAAACAGAGAAATCCCCTCTTGAAAAAACAACAAACAAAAAAACAAACAAACAAAAAGCTGGCTTTCATAGGTATGGTATTTCAACAGGTCATATATACATTCACTCTCTGGACTTGTTTCTTATCTCCATAAACAGTATCCTTGGCATCGAGATTGTCACAAGTATGGTTCTACAGAGGTTTTCATAACTGAATCAGGATTGAGTGCCTCTCCTTCTGGCAATGATAACCTTAAAGAAGAAAAGATGAGGTCAGAGCAGTTGAAATGCAGATGGTTCACACTTCTTTCTACATTCCTACTCACTGTTTGCATTGTAATAGTGGCTGTTTAAGTGTATAATGAATCCCACACAGTGTGTAAGCATGACAAGGATTGTGGATTTTAGCACATTGTGATCTGATTTGCACAGGGCATCCTTGGGAACTTACCATTTCTGTTCTGCAACAGACAGTATTTGAAAGTTTGAGATGAAGACCCCAAGGTTCTTTGTGTGTAGTCTTTGGTCAATTTGAAGTCAGTGTTGTGTGATATTTTGTTTGTGTTCTGACAAATAAAGCTTGCCTGGAGATCAGAAGTTGGAACTAGCCACCAGTTAACCATAGAGGCCGGGCTATGATGACACACACCTTTATTCCCAGCATTTGGGAGGAAGAAGCAGGTAGATCAGTAGTTCAAGGCCACCCTGGGCTGCAGGAGATTGAAATATATGATCCTTAGGAAGAATTGTATTTCCCAAAGCACACACCTGCATGTAACTGTGCCTTACAGACTTCAGCTGCCATGTATCTTCTCTTGAGGTCAATTCAAAACAGACAAGTCGAAGTTTATTGCCTGGCTCACAGTTGATACTGGTCAGTCGTCCATAGACCACCACTTCCATTTTCCCAGTATCATCTTCAATCCCATAGTAAATGAAGTCACCCCTTTCATTTTTCTGAAAGACAAGTTACCATTCACCTTTTAAGAAATATGTAAAAGCTTATCACTTCTATGAGAAATAAAGAGTGTTAGCATAAACCTGTCCCTGACAAGGCAAGTATGGCTCTTAGGTTTAGAATCTCTTAGGTAAAAGGCCATTGAGATGGCTGAGTGGGTAAGGGTGCTTGTTGGCAATCCTGACTACCACTCAATTCCCAGGACTTAGAGTGGAAGGAGAGAACTCATTTGTGGAGCTTCTCTTCTGATTTCCACACTGCTTTCATGGCCTTTGTGTTTCTCTCAACCCTCACAGACAAAATAAAGGAATAACTGACAAAATAGAATTACTTGATTGGAAGAGTTTAACATGTTATGTTGAACAAATCTTTTCTTGGAAATCACTCTGGAGGTTTTGTGTGCCTAGCCCTTAATAACTGGCCTATAATTGCAGCCCTTGGAAGCTTCTCTTAAGTTTTACCTACTTGAGGTCTTTATCTGCTGGGTGTCTTTAGAAAAAATGAGTATCTTCCTAAGTACTAGTTGTAACATATCAGAATAGCTGAGATTTCTTAAGGTTCCAAAGTAAGGGATCAAAATGAAAAAAACATAAATACACAGCAAACCCCATTTAGTTACCATTTCAGGTTTCTTAGTTACATCCAGAAGGCCTGAGAAGAAAAGGCTACTTTTGGCTCATCGTGAGTCTGAGAAACACTGTTATAAGTCTTTTTTATTTATTTTACTCTTTATTGAAAATAAAGTTGTTTTGCCACATCATATTCCTATCACAGTTTCCTCTTCCCTACCTCCTCCATCATAATCTTCTCCTCCCCACTTTTCCAACTCCAACCCTTCTTTCTCTCTCTTTTTTGTCTTTTTTTTAGGGTCTGAGGACTGAACGCAGAGCCTTGTGCTTGCTAGGCAAGCGCTCTACCACTGAGTTAAATCCCTAAGCCATCTTTCTCTGTCTTTTAAGCAAATAGTCAAATAAAGAAGACAAACCAACAAGAATAAAACAAAATGAACAAACAAACAGACATAAAAAAGAAATAGCCTGAGAAACAAATATACAGTCACACAAATAAGACAGTCACACATACACACACACACACACACACACACACACACACACACACACACACACACTCCCCTCCTGTATAAATGAATCACATTTGCTCAGTGCACACATCAATTCACTCTACTACTTCCTAATCCCTTAGAAGTTAAATCTACAGCAATATTTCTGGTGTTTTAGTTTGTGTCCCACTTTGTTTACTTATTAATTGTGTGACCAATTGTACCAGCACAGTCAATAACAGCATAGATAAAAGGGAAAAGTCATTCCTGATTCATGCACTATGAACTACAAAATCATACATTGAACAAGCAAGCATACTAATGAATTAGTACATTGGCACTTAAAGAAATATTTAAAAGTCATAGAATTCCTTAAATTTCTTCACTTTCATTGTGCCTATTATAAATTGTGAAATTAAACTAGATTGTTTAACTCCTCTTTCTCTCATTATTTAAAATAGTATTCACTCAGTCAAAAGATCTTGATAAAAAGTAAAGAATGTGATAATGAGAACATTAAAGAAATAATCCTGGCTTGTTGGACAAGGTTTCATTCTAGGGCAGAATTGTTTATTTGTTTTTTTATTCTCATCATTGCAAACTGTATCTAGTCTATGAGTTTGACTCTTCATTCACAACTGAGTTGCCAATGAGATGGGTTAGGAAACTATCAAAGAAAAAGAATCTAAAAGGGAAGTGTGCTATAAACTGAACAGTGTCTGGGAATAGGATGTCTCTAGATGGATTGTCATAGCCAGGAAAATGCCAAAGGTTATTGATGAATCTCCTTGTAAAGAATTCTCATGGTGGTACCTTGAGGAGAGGAATGGTAAGAGACTATCCCCATATCCAAAATGTGGAAACCTTACTCATCTCTTTCTGATATGAAAGGTGATTATTTCCTGTGATCAGTAAGTTGAGCAACTTCCAGTGCCAGGAAAAACTTAAAAATCTCAGAATGCAAATGCATTCCACAAATAATGTAGTGGCTTACCTTAGTTACCTCAAACTCTCCATTCACATATGTCCCTTTTATTTGAGAGAAAAGATCCTTAATTTTAGGAGTTCCATTGGCTCTTCGCCTCAGTGTATTTGAGATAACCATTGTTCGGTTAACATTCACATCAGACACACAGGAAGCTCTATATATCTCCAGGAATCCATTGGTGCCAAAATAATCTGATATGGTAATGATCTTTTTTGGGATGAACTTGTTCTTTAGGGCTGTGTCAAAAACCTTGACTCTGAAGAATTCAGTCTCAGTAGCCACTGTGGCATGGAACATCCTTTTGTCATCAATCAAATCATAAGTAAATGGTTCTGTTACTTTCAACACCATCACTTGTATGGGATCTTGATGGTGACCTTCTACCTTAGAAGGCTCCTTTGGTAAGTTTCCCTTCTTTGGTGTCTACATAAAACATACAGAGGATAAACATGCATAATTCAGATAGAACATAAGGCACAGCTCCACTGAATAGAGTGGAGAACATCTAAGCAATGATTCCCATACCTTACCCTAGATAAAAGAAGAAATGGAGATTTACCTATATCACTACTTAAGTGATTCCACTTAATACTAATCATACCTGCTAAATAAGGAGATTATACTTGTAGTTATGGGGAATGAACCCAAAGCCTCCATGTTCTAGTCAAGTCTTCTACCTAGGAACATTTTAAAAATTCCAATTACAAAACCTTGTCAAAACCATCAGAGCTTTCTTGTAAAAGAAAGATGCCCTCAAATATTGTTAATCAGGAATGGTTCAGGCTAGCAACTCTTCTTTTTGCATAATAGCAGGCATGGAGGAGAATCCTGGGACCAGAAAAAGTCCTGAAGTCATTTTACTTTGATAGCCTGCTTCCTCAGTATCCCATTCCATTTCTGAGCATCAGAAGAGCACTATGAAATGGAGGCAAAACTGCAGGGCTGAAAGAAGAAGCATGTTGTCAATCATGGCCAACCTGGGTACCAGCTCAGGGAGGCAGCTATAACTGGTAGCACTTTCTGAAATTTGACTTGGAAACATACAGACTTCACACTATGGATGGTAGGGTTTAACTCCGATTCCTGACCAATGTGTTCTAACTTCAGGAAGTACATTTTCATTATAACTATTTCAGCAATTCACAATATGAAAAGAATACCTTGAAAAAAGTTCAGAGTGTAAAATTAAATAAGCAAGTGTCTCACTATACTCCTTACAGAATAGGCATGATCAGGTGATCACTGAGTCAGGCATTTTCTTAATTGAATAGACCATACACAGTATTTTAAAGTTGAATGTAGGGAAGGTCAGTAAGTAAACACAATAAAAATGAGTTGATTATTTGAATAAAAGATTATGTGCAAATAGATTAATGAAGAAAACTTTCAAGTTTGTGCTAAGCTCTGTTATTATATTGTGAGAACAGGAAGCTTTACCCTTGATGGACTGCTGATTACTGCTGCTGGAGGCACCAGAGGAGCCTGGAGAGCACTGGATGCTGTTGCTGGGGACACCCAAGGATCCGGGAGAGAGCTAGATGCTGTTGGTGGATATCCACATGTAGCCAGGAGACTTTCTGATGCTGTTGCTGAAGGCATCTGAGGAGCATGGACACTCCTTGATGCTTTTTCTTTAGAACAGGGAAGAGCCTGTCCAGTACCATATGATACTCCTTGAGGCCCTTGAATGGTGCACACACTTCTGGACTCTGTCTGTGGAGGAGCATTTAGAGCCTGGATTATGTTGGATGATGCTCCTGGGTGTGTTTGAGTGGTCTGTACTCTGCTTGTTCCTATTGGTATAGAAACCTGAGGAGCTGGAAGACTGTTGATTGTTGTTGATAGAAGTACTTGAGAAGTCTGCAGACTCCTAGATGCTGTTGCTGGAGAAACCGAAGAAGTCAGGGAATAAATATGTCCTGTTCCTAAGGGACCTGGGACATTGGCATTCCTGGGTGCTTTTACTGTAGCAGAGTTAAGAGTCTGAATGCCACTGGATGTTGCTCTTTGAGATACCTGGGTGGTGCTGTCATTTCTGGACACTGCTTCTGGAAGAGCATTGGGAACCTGAATATTGCTGGATGCTATTGCTATTCTGACCGGGGCTTCCCTTTTCAATGTTGCTGAAGGCCCTTTAGGGGTTTTGGCAGGCCTGGATGTTATTACTTGAGGACTCTGAGGAGACTGTTTGCTACTGGCTGCTGCTGCTGTAGGTAGGTGAATGTTCTGGGCATTACTGGACATGGATACTGGAGACATCTGAGGAGTACTGAGAAAGCTGGACACTGTTTTTGAAGGCATGTGAGGGACCCAAATATTACCAGATATTGTTGCTGGAGGTACCTGAGGATCCTGGACACCACTGGACAGTGTTAGAGGCACTGGAGAGTTCAGATGGATGCTAGAGTCTGATGCTGGAGACGTTGGAAAATTCTGGCAAAGTGGTACTGAAAAGCCTAGAGATGTTCTTAAAGTGAAGCATGTTTCTGTTGGAGTCTGAGAAGTCTGGAGGCTGTTAGAAGCTGCTGCTGCTGCTGAAACTTCTGGAAGAGTCTGGAGTTTCCTGGCAGCTGAGGAGTTGCTGGTTGCTGCAAATTGTAGAAGCTGATGTTTTTTCTGGGAAACCTGTGTCTTTATGGTACTCTGTTTTTTGATGTTTGTGTTTTTCTGTTTTAAAGGAAAATAGGATTGAGATATTTTTTATTACTGCTTATTGGTTTTTGAAAACAAAACCAAGTACATCTTTTTACTTTCTCTTTTCAAAAGAGGACTTTTACAATGTCAGCTTTTTCCTGGGCTGAAGGAAGTACTTGAGAACATGCTTAGTTATTTCTAACACCTAGCTTCCACTCTTATAACTTCTCTTAAAAGTCAGGTATTGAATTTTTTCTAGTCTGGGATGGAATACAAACTCAAAGTATCTTACAGACTGTTCAAATATTACTTGGCCTCATTCAGCTTTTAGTGTTATTTTGTGGGAAATGAAGTTTGTAGTAAAACTGGCTACTTGTGTACTTTTTCTCAAGTAGACTTTCCAATCTATCAGATATTCAATCCTTATTGTACACAGATACAACTCTCCACATTTTCAGGTGATGTGATTGAAATTATGCCACAACTACCCTAAAAAAATGGACAAGATGGATTTTGGTGGATGGAAATGTAGCTCAATTGACAGCATGTTGGAATAACATGCCTGAAACCCATCTAGACTCATTTAAACCTGTATTTAGGTCTTTAAAATAAGTATAACTCTAGTTTAATAAAACTTCTCCGTATGTGAGAAATACTTGCACTTAGGCAACAGATGTAGTTAGGGTCCTCATTACACTTTTATAATCTTAGAAGTATAAAAATGTAAATATTATAAAATTTGCTTTAAAAGTGAAGGTAAGTTAGTATGCAAATACTTTGGTTTAGCAGTAATGGCCATTTTTACTGTTTTTGTTTTATGTTTTTGATAGTTCAAGGTAAAAATTCTTCTAAAATGCAACAATTGCTATAAAGCTGATTCCTTTCAAGTCAAAATTATTACTAATTGTAGCCTATTTTCCAGGCTTGTGTACATTTTAAATTATATTGCTGTCATCATTTACAAACATGGTTAATTAGATGTGCCTAAGGAGTTCCCGTGCTAAATAACTGGACTCTGCTAGTTAAAAAGATTAAATGCTGGTCACATAGAGTGTTCAACACAATTGTACCATGCAATAAAATAAGGAGATGTGTGTACATTGCAGTCAGGATCTCCAAATATATGCATGATGAATGGATGTAATTAAGTACATGATTAGGAAATTAGATGAGAAGTTCTTTCAAGGTTATGATTGTTGTAATTATATTAAAAAGGCATCAAAGTGGGAACAAGAAGTCATTCCCTTTGATGAGGAATGGCTGGGAGAGTTTGGTGTATGCCTGGGAGGGTCTGAAACTGACACTTACAAAAGTGACCATTACAGTTATACAGTATTTGGTCAGTGAATGGGCATGGATAAAGACTTCCAAGCAAAGAACCAGAATGTGTCAAAACACCTGTTAAGAAGAGCATAGAATAGTGAAAATAACCCCTGAAGTTGGGTCACCAGCAAAGGGAAAAGGTCTGAGAAGAAACTAGGCAATGGGGACTGATACATTCTTGTGTTAGTCCCTGTCTGTCTCCCCTCTTTCTTTTCTGAACCCTAAGCAGAAAGTTGGTTGACAACATTAGAAATCATTTCATCAATGCTTACCTTTTCAATACCACAGAGGCTGTGATATGTGATTACATAACTTACTAAGCTATTTAATAATAAGAGGAAATTCTTTGTAGTAGGGGATCAGTGAGATGTTTTTCCAAGGTTGTGGTGAGCCCAGAGACATGCTTTGGGAAAGGGCAAGCATTGGGAAAAGGAAAGTGGTACCTTGTTTGAGGAACTGCTGGATGGTGTTGGGGGAGGCTTATGAGGAGTCTGGAGACAACATTCATCTTTTTGTGGGTTGCTTCCTGAAGGCTCTAGAAACTGAGTCTGCTCCTGGGTAAGCTTCATTTTCTTGCCACCTTCAGTTTTTATGGTTTGTTTTCTCTTTTTCTAAAAGAAAAATGTTTGTCTTTCCTTATTGATTTTCCAATGTGTTGGAAAGTGAACCCCAGGCTTTGTAGATGGTATGTTGTGCTTTCTCATACTGTTTTATCCCCAGCCCTTAGTAATGTCTTTAGTATTAAATAAAGCATAATATTTCAAGGACTATAAGAATCTTAGTTTTATTAATGGATTCTAATTATATTTGCATCATTGTGCACACCTCATTCTTAACAGATGGATCATATGGTGTGGTAGTTTGAATAAGACTGATCCCCATAGACACATTGATTTGAATGCTTGGTCATCAGAGAGTCTCAGTATTAGCAGATGTGTCCTTGTTGGAGTAGGTGTGATTTGTTGGAGGAAGTGTGTCACTGAGGGGTGGGCCTTGAGATTTCAGATGCTCAAGCCAGGCCCAGTGCCACTCTCTCTTACAGCTGCCTGTGGAGATGTAGAACTCTACACTACCTCTTCAGCACAACGTCTGCCTGCACACTGACATGCTTCCCACCATGACAATAATGGACTAACCCTCTGAATATGCAAGTCCAATAAATGTGTTTTTTAATAAGAATTGCTATAATCATGACATCTCTTCAAGTATTAGAAACCCTAACTAAGTGATATAGGGTTGTCTCATAGAAGAGTAGAAAAATTATGTGTATCTCATCCTACTTATCCCTGTGGTGGCAAAAGAGCATGAGGTGTAGAATTATAAAGTTTGTATTTAATATAAGCATTTTAAAAGCCACATCCCAAACAACTTCTGTTTCAGTAAATGGTCTTTAAAAAGCCATGTGGTAATTTTTTGTTTGCATCCCTGGGGGTTGTACTGCACGAGTTAGAGACATTGTATATCTGACACTGAACGAGTGACAGGTCCCTGTGAATTTGTTGACTTAGATCCCTGTTCTCACTAGAGCCGTGGACTGGATAGATAGAGTACTGAATATTCCTAAAGAGTTAAGAAGGGGAGGAACCTGGGGAGAAGCTTTTTGGTGGGAGACCAGCCACCTTACCTGTGCAGAGGGTTCGCTCTTGTCTGATTCATTGTCGGTGGAAAGAGATCGGGAACTACTGGGTTCTTCTTGCTTTCCTTTTTTCACTGCAGTTTTGTTTTTTCTTGTCTTTTGCTTTTTAACTGTAGGGATAAAGAAAACACAATAAATCCAGGGAAGTGGTTAAGATTACTGAAGTTCATTCAGAAGTATTTATTTTCTGATTTTCAAATGAAAATGACAATTTATTCCATTTTTGTTAACAGTTTTACAGAAACACAAGGATTTCACGTTGTTTTTAACAAAACCTCAATCCTTCAATTTTACCAATAAAGACTTAGGAAGCAGATGGTGGTGTGAAAGCCTGCTAGCTCAAGAGGCAGAGAAAGCAGCCAGCTGACCTTCATATTCCACCATTGTTCCATAATCTCCCTTTTCCTATGCCAGTCTAACCAAAGCCTCTTACGTTCAATGTCTCTCACTTCTGCTTCCTGTGCGTCTCTCAAGCCATCCCCTTGACCTCCTCTTAGTTTTTCCTAAACAATCAGTTGTTCATTTCCATTTGCTTAATTTGCCTCTTGACCTATACATGATTTTTATTTAATAATGTTTGCGATTTGATATTTGATGTAAGAAAATACCAACATTGGATTTTGACATCTACATTGGGGATATATTTTTCTATGTGACTCATGTATTCTCAATCTGCAGGTCTCCTTGACTGGGCCTTCTTATGGTAAATTCTCAGGTCAGAGTTGTGTACCAGTATATGCAACATTTTTTATCCCATTGACTTTGTAAAGAGAAAATTCTTCACATCTCTAAAATGCAGGATTCTACATAAATATTAGATCATATTTCTTACCGGACAGGGTACTAAAGAATGTGTAAGACTGTTAATCAAGTGTTAAATTTATTCTATTTAAATGCTTTAAATGACTTTTTCAATTTTTTACTTCTTCATTTTCTAGTTTTTCTACATGTTTGGATGTTTAATCTCAACAACTGCCTTTTATATTATTTACCTCCAATGCAAAAGATGTCTACCCTGAAATATATCAAGTTTCTTTGTAAGAAAAGATTTCTCGAAATCATCAACTTGTTGACATCTGAGATGTTTCAACCCCATTATTTCTAAGGCACGCACTGGGAAAGAAACATGTCAGCTCTGATTGCTGCAGGCAGCCAGAAAGCTAGGGAGGGTGGAGAAGGGATGAGTGTCTAGGATGCTCCCATGTTACCTTTTGCTCTCTCTGTTTTAAGCCTTTTAGCAAGGTCTTCAAGTTCTTTAATGCTTTCACACACATTTATCAACAGGTTCAGTCCAGCATCTTTTGGGAATGTGTCCTCCAACTGGTCAGCCATCTGAATTCTGTCATAATCATCTTGCATCTTTTTTGTTAGATTTAGTTTTTTTCTTAGTAAGGACTTGATTTTCCTAAACTGGTAGTCATCCACAGCCACGTCCTCTAATCCTTGTTGAAGAACAATTGTCTTGTATTCACTCATTATCTCTACAATTATGGACGATCCTAAAAGATGAAAATGAACATAGGATTACAGACATACACAGACAATTCCAAAACAGGGTTATTCCTGTGTTAGTGAATGACCCCAATTGATAATGTCCATAATTGCATGTAAGACAAAAACAGAGTTAAATACAAGCTGTGTCATTGTGCAAAATGGATGTAGAACTTCTGTATTAATAAACAAGCCTAGGATATTCTTCCCTGTAAGCCATGTTAGGTGACTTAGACCAGTGACTTGTGGTGGAAGAAAAGTGTTGGAATCAATAATTGTTGCAGTGTTTAGAGTATGGGTGTTAATATCCTGGATGCTTTTTCCACTCTTATTTGGTTCTGGAGCCTGTCCATGGATATCTGCCTGTGGGTTTCTGATTTTTCCCATTCTAAAGCGACCTATGTGCAAATGGACTGCATCCTATTACAGTGTACCTGGATGAACAATGACTGAAGTCACATGACCATGCTGAGCCACTCCATTGTCCACTCAGCTTTGCCTCAAACACCCCTCATTAGTATCCTGTCTCTCCTGGCCTTGGATTGTGATCTTTGGGTCCTTTGTGCTCATATTAGTGTCAATTTCTCCAACATCTGCATAGTTTTCAGAGCAGCACCTTAGAATTTACTTGATGGAATTTTGTCTGTTTCTTGATTTTATCCTTTCAGGATTTACTTAGTGGTTCATATTTGTTCATAGATAAAATTTTCCACCTACTAATGTTTAAATCCCACCTAGATCTTTTAATAGTTTCCTAGTTTACTAACAATATTCCTTCCTCCTAAAATATATTGGAAGAACTTGAAAAATCTGAACTCTTCCATTTATGCTTATTTTTACTCCTGAGATCATATGCTTCAAAATATACAAAATATACTTTAAGGTATGTATAATTTCTTTTTCATTGCTTGGAAAGTCATTCTCATATTTCTTTCTCTGTCTACTTTTCATAAATTTAGAAAACTTAAGAGTTAAATGGGGTGTGTGATGGGAGGGTAAGGTAGTAGAATAAATGAGAGAGAAGTAACTAACACTAAGTATATTTCCAAAACTAAGATGGAAACCTATTGTTGTAGAAGCTTCTTATATACTCTATCTGTCTCTCATCTCTCATCTATCTTCTCTTTTCCCAGATACCTAAAAAAATCTATCTATAAAGAATTCACATGGAGTTACTGTATAATGGGGCAACAATGCTTCTACTAGACACCACAGGTTAGCAAAAAGCCCAGTGCCAGGAATGAATTTGCTCTCTTGAAGTTATTGGCCAGTCTGTTCTCATAGACTCCCAATATATAGCCTATTGACAATGCTCTTCGGTACGAGTCAGAACTTTATGGGAAGACTCTATTGTAGAGACACCACACTTTGAGTTACACAACATGGAGAAATCAAGTTGATATTCCCCTGAAGCCTCATCCCTACTGGCTAGATTTTCCAATCTGGAAAGTACTGTGCACAGTAATGGAGGAGCAAAATAATTATTAACCTTACTCAGTTGTGGATCCTTGCAGGTACAGTAATAACCAGTCTGGCAAAACATGCTCACTGGTCCAATAGTGGCATGAATGTTGTGGGATTAACCATCCATTTTGTGATTTGATCTAAGGCCTGTATGAGTTGAAACCCATACCTGGCACCATTCTAAGGCTGAAAACCTGTGACTAGACTACTCATAGTCCCTAGTTGAGAACCTATTAATTTTACACTGATAAATAGGAGTAGAATTAAACTTATTATTTTGCCCACAAGTCTTTCAACTCTCATCAGAGACATTTATAAGAAACTAATAACAAAAATTAGAAAATTTGAAACATCAAAAGATTGGCTCTCTGGAAATTCTCAAATTCCCCAATGAACTGAGTTTTCCTCTTTGTAGCTCATTCACATTTTATATACTTCCTTGATGATCTTTAGAGAATGGAATGAGTTCAACATTCTAATTCAATTTATGGTATTTTAATTTGGGAATCATACCTGTATGGACCTCAGCTTAATTGGAAATACATTTCTACGGCTTTAATTGCTTCCATTTTTTGGGGGGAAAATTCAACATTCTCCATGCTCAGAAAAATCCAAGGCTGAACAGAATATCCACACAAGGACACATGACAGGGAAGAGGAAGAGTGTTAGGAAAAAGACAGACTCTGTAAGCCATGACGTTAAAAGTAGATCACCCACACATTCAAGGAGGAGAGTAAAGCTGATTCTCAACAATGAAACTCCCTTCTTCAGAGCAATATTCCAATTTTCATACAACACTAATCTCCAGATGCCAGGAGAAATTAAAGTACAAAGCATTTCTTTGGGTTGGTACTTGTGAAAACACAACTACGTCAAATACAACCAGACATGTGATGACAAAGACTATTTGTAATTTTTATGGTTTCCATTTATATGAGAACATTTATTGTGTTATTGAAGTGTTACTGCTTTTGAATTTGGACTAATCATCCCAGCCTCAGTAGACTTTCCTGTATTACACAATATAGTATACATGCATCATGGCACTCTATGCCCTCTAGATTCTGGACATCAATGTGTTCCTCCTCACTGATAAAAAGCTAAATACTTTAAATGTTCAGTCTCTTTATGACACCTAAAGTCTCTTCCAAATTTCAAAGCCTCTGTAAAATATCCAAAGTCTCTCTAAAATTCTAAAGTCTTTAAAAATTCAAAGTATCTCAACTGTGAGCTCTTATAAAATAAAAAATAAGTTATCTACATTTTTTTTCCAAGATGGAAAAGCCAGGTCATCATTACATTTGATTCAAAGCAAAATCAAATTCTACAGTGTGAAAAGATTCTCTGGTATGCTAAGGGCCATGGCAGCTCCATTTCTCTTGCTCTTCCATCCAAGCACACATAGTGTTTCTCCTGTGCTTAGATTACCTCTCTCCACATTTACTGCTATCCTTGGTGTCATTCCATGGTACTGACATCTCAAAAAGGCTGGGGTCCCTTTGTACCTGTTTTGCATCATCACCAATGGTCTTTTACAACTTTTCACAGTGGCAAGCTTCAGCTATTTCTTATGTCCTCACTATGCCTCCAAAAACAGTACCACTAGGCAAGTCTTTTAAATTATAAAGTTTGGATGTCAGCACAAGGTACACCCTAGACTCCTGTGGATCACAACTTCAACTTCTGTGTACTGACAGTAAAAGACACTTCCCAGATTATAACTCAATAATGCTGTTCTCTTCTTAATCTCAGTCAATTATTGAGTCGCAGGTGAACAGAATCACAGATTTGTAATTCAAATATTGAGTGGCCTCAAAAGATTCTTTAGGAGACTCTGAACCTCTTCTCTGAAATTTCCAAGCCAGACCTTTATCATTTGCACTGCCTCTGCATTATCTTCTTAGTTCCTACAATAGTTGATTCATCTCTAAACACTCAATAGCTTTTATGTCCCAAAGTTACAATGTTCTTTCATAATCCTTCCTAAAACACAGTCAGGTGTGCCACAATAATATCCCTCAACCCAGTATCAATTTGTCTCTTAGTTACAGGTTCTATTGCTGGGATAAAACACTGTGACCAAAAACAACATGGGAAGAAAGGGATCATGTCATTTTATACTTCCACATCACAGTCCTTTGGTGAAGGCAGTCAGAGCAGGAACTCAAGGCTGGCTGTGGAGGCAGGAACTGAAGCAGAAGTCATGGGGAGCACTGATTACTTGCTTGTTCTGCATAGCTTGCTCAGCACTCAGTACTACCTGCACATGGGTGGCACTGCCCTTGATGGGTTACATACTCATGGGCTTTGTAGAGCCCACTACCTATGATGGGACACTTTGTGCAACCTTGAGGCAGGGGGAAGGGCTTGGACTTGCCTCTACTGGATGTGCCTCCACATGGGAGGACTTGCCTTCTTGTGGTGGGAGTGGGGGTTGGGTTGGGAGGGGAGGGTGGGGGGTGGGAGGAGGGAAAAGGGGGATCTTTGATTGGTGTATAAAATGAATGAAAAATTTTTCTTAATAAAAAAAAAGAATATGCCCTACACACTTTCCTACAGGCAGTTTTAAAGGAAGCATTTTCTCAACTAGAGTATCTCTTCCCAGATAATTTTATCTTGTGTTAAGTCGACAAAAAAACAACTGGAACATACCCTTAGAAAGAGATAATACTTTAAATGTTGGTTTTATATACCAATAATAGTGTATGGTATTTCTTAGTATTTTATGTCTCTTGTTAGGACCATAATAAGTAGCAACATAGTATATGTTTTATTCCAAATGTTCTGATGCACACATATCCCCTTCATGTGTATATGAAAGATCATACTCATCTGCGAATTTGAGAAAACCAAAATATTTTGATAGATTCACCAGTATATTTCTCAATTACTAAATTAACAAGGTATAAACATCTGTAAAAATATTAGAATGTTTCAGAAATATAAATGATACAAGAGAGATACCCTTACATACTTACACATCTGAAATCAACTTCTAAAATACTCTGCTCAAGTACACATTAAGAACTCTAAAGGAAGCCGGGCGGTGGTGGCACATGCCCTTAATCCCAGCACTCGGGAGGCAGAGCCAGGCGGATCTCTGTGAGTTCGAGGCCAGCCTGGGCTACCAAGTGAGTTCTAGGAAAAGGCGCAAAGCTGCACAGAGAAACCCTGTCTTGAAAAACCAAAAAAAAAAAAAAAAAAAAAAAAACTCTAAAGGATACATGGAAAGCCTTTAAAATTTTTTAAAGGTAGGCAATAGAGATATATTTCTAATTAACTCCCACTCAGTCCCCTTCATTTTCCACCAGAAAATAAGAAACAAATCCAAACAATCTAAAACTAAATAAAACAAATGAATTTCAAGATAACAGAAACTAATTCACTGTGATTGAAATACAGCTGATGTAAAAGATAATGATAAGTGTGTTCCTGGATGATTGAAAAAAAGATGTAATTGAGTAACTGTGAATCTGTGAAGCTTTGTACTATGCATGTCCATTGTTTCTCATGCTGTGCAATATCAGAACACTAGAGTGCAGTTCCATGTTCTGATATATTTTCACTTAATACTATTATTTCACAGCAATTTCTTGATGTCACTATCCTATAATTTACTTAGTCAGTTACCACAGCCAACAAGTTCCTTCACACTCTCCAGCCAAGGTAACTTAAGCCTTCTTCGTATTTTCCTTTTACTCATACTTAGAAAGTTATTTTATTATCAGCCATGATCAAAATGCACTTCTGTTAGCTCTAGTCCAAATAAAGGTGGACTAAAGATGTCTGCCATCTCCCCTAGCAAGCATCAGAACCTAGCTGCTGTGGCTTCCCTGCCCTGAGAGCAGCTGGCACCAGCCCTGATCCCTCCACTCTCCTCTGAAGGAAGCAGCACTGATTTCCCCTGTGACCTTGTGGGTTCCACAGAGGTCTCAACTCTACATAGCAGGGGCAGGTCTCACTTTCTTGGAGATTTCTTCAACAGTGTCCAGATCGTAGTTCAACTGAAAGGTTAGGAATAGGGGTAGTTTTCTTTGAAGAAGATAAATGAATAAATCCTTCAGACTGGAAAGGGATGTTGCAATCCGCAAACTGCCAGGAACACGAAATAGTTTATAAGATGGGAAGAACGACACTGGTCAGAGTCATTTCAATTTGACTCAAGTGACGCAACCCTGAGTGTCTTGCACTGTGCTCTCTCTGGGGGAGAGAAAGGCTGCAAAAGTGAAGCCTCCTCCCATTGGTTTTCCTGGCTCGTGTGATTGAAGGGTTCATTCTTGTATACACTTCCCTACACTGAAAAACAAAGGTCTGCTGTGCTCAGCTGTTCTTCTTACATGTCTTCATAGGTGGATGATCCAAGGTTAACCCTTCATGTCCAGCATACTTACTTTGGGTCACTGAGAATCACATTTCTTTGAATAAAGGTAATTTATTAAAGGAAAAGTGTGAGCCACCCAGACACCTCCTCTCTTCCTCTAAAGGTGGAGTTGGCAGGAGGAGAATTCAGCAGGTTCCATTGCCATGAAGAATAGAATGTGTTTCCTGGATAGAGGATCATCACTGATGCAGGTACTTTTAGTTTAAGCACTTATTAAAGCATTTACTAATTTTTCATTAGTTCCTAAGCCAGAAGATTGTTTAAGCAGTATCTTGCAGAGTTTGCTTTCAATTAATAGAAAGGAATTTGTCATTGCCTGCTGCTCTATGGACTATAGTGAAGCTGTTCTTCCTTAGGTGACTGAGTTAATGAATCCATAGTGTTTCTACGTTATTTATTGATAAAGATAATAGGTAGTGGGCCTATTTAATGACAATATGGAAACCTTGAAAATGAGAAATTCTGAACTTGTAGTCAGACCAAGGACCTGAAATAACTTTACCCTACTGGCTATTCTGTTGAGGAAATTGGGGAGTCTATGCTGTGTTGTAATTCTGAGACATTGTTTTGTGTTGTGGGAGCCTCCTAATCTACAAGAAGGATTATTGACTACAGAATGTTGATCTACATTGCTAAATTTTGCTTTTATCTATGTATTATTGTTCCTATGCCCAAGTTCTACCCTTTTAAAATTAGAAATATGTGACTCACCCTTTATTTTACAGGATTCTATAATTACATTTAGGATACATAGGACTTTTAAAGGGACTTTGGATTTCTATATAGTGTTGAAAAATTTAAAGAATGTGGGATTTTAAAACATGGAACTATGTCTTATACTGTTTTCGCATGAACCCCTGGGGAACAATGAAGGGAAATTAGGATTGAAAAGAAATGCTTTCAAGGGAGAGGGGCCAGAATAAAATGGTGTAAAGGTGTAAAGTGGAATACTGGAACAATATGGTTAAGTGCAGTTGGAGAATGTGGGGGCAGAAGAGTGGAGGGAATTTGTAATTAGAATTACAATTCTAATGACCTTTCAAAAAGTCATCTGGAAAATTGTTCCTGTATATACTTCATAAAATATAAACATGTTCATATATAAAAAGTGTTTAATGGACTTATAATCCATTTAAAATGAGTAACAATGAACCTAGTAGATACCAGAAGCTAACAAATGAAAATCCTAGTGTCAATAAAATGTTACTTCCTTTGGAGTTGTTGATCAGTGAGATCCCATTACATACCCTCTCAAACACACACAGGCACACACAGACACACAGACACAGACACACACACACACACACACACACACACACACACACACCACATTCTACAAGCTATTGCCAATGCTCTTGATTTCTTTCCAACTCGATAAAGACATCACATATTTAAGTCACAGAACATGGAGACATCAGCTGGTACTGACCATGGAGATACATTCCCACTGACTAGTTTTTATAGTGCTGGGAGGTGCTTTTCATTTACCAGCAAAGAAAAGTAGTCACCAATCTTACCCTTCTTCTCAGGAATCCTTGAAGAAGAGGGGGAAGAAAAAATTAAGAGCCAGAGGTGGTGAATGACTACAGGGACACAGAGTTTCCCAAACACAGCTGGGCAGTTGCACATATAAACTCAATGTCATTGTAGAACTTCATAAGACTTGTGCAAATTTAAGCCAAACAAAATTTCAGCATGAAGTAAAGGGAGATGGACACAAATTCCCATAACCAGCAAAGGAATATTCGTCATTTGATGGCTACTGGGAGAGGGAGAATCATTGTTATTAAGGGCATGGCCCATGGTTGGCTGATCACAAACTGTACTTGATAGGGTTTAAAAAGAAAAGGAGATACAAAGTTGGGTGGGAAGGGAAGGGAGTGTGAATCTGGAGGGAGTTGTGGGAGGGGGTGAATATGGGCAACGTACACTGCATGAAATTCTCAAAGAACTAACAAAATGAGAAAGAAACAAAATACAGTTCTTCTAAAATGAAAAATGCAAACTTGCCTAGGCACACATATGCTTCAAAATAAAGACCTGATTTTTAAAAAAAAAAATCATGAAAGAGGAAGTTCATAACATGGTTGAGGGACAGACGAAAGAGAACATACAGTCTGTTGATGTAAGATAGACACATCCCACAGTGAAATGGCGGGAGCAGAAGCAGAACAGAAACCTGCTGGTAACCAGCCCATAATGAAGGACCTATTCAGTCCAGTGACAACTTCTGTCAATTCTGTCACAATTAAACCTGTGATTTAAGATATGCTCCCTAGGTTGTTAATAAAACATTCCTTAACAGTGGAAAAATCCAAAATTAGTTAAAACTAAAGACAATCCTGTTTATCTGCATTAGTGGAGCTTTAACAGAACTGGAGGCAAAAACTGTTACCAAATACCAAATATGATAAACCTTCTCATCCTAGAAGGATATAATAGTTTTAATTATGGATTTAGCTACTAGTGATTGTGCCTGCTATTTGTTATTATTATGTTTCTTCACAGCTCTGTAAAATCATGGAATATATTTTCACACAAGTACACACATCCACACACAGACATACATCATATATATTCAGTGTCTGTGAGAGCACACAAGTCTGTGAATTTGAAAATAATCAGAATGAGAACCAACAGTTTTGTGGTAAATACAACAGTGTATCAATCACTGAATTACTAAGGTGAATTACTAGATCTATAAAAGATCTAGAACTTTGAGCAATATAACTGGTAAACTTAGCAAGATGGGTCTAATACTTGTACAATACTGAAATCAACATTTAAGTTATGAAGTTCAAGTACACATGGAGTACTATACAAGGGGACACAGGCAACCTTTAAAATGTTCTAAAAATAGACAAAAGAAATATGTTTCTATTTAAATCTCTTTTAATCCATACATCTTATGACCAAAAACCAAAACAAATAAAATATAACCAAGCAAAAGGGGTAAGCTCCAAAATGACAAAAAGTTTCCCCCAGTGACTAATTACTATTTTTACTACCTTGTGTGAAGGGGAGAATAAGAAATATTAAATATGCCTATGAAAACAGTATGTATTTGAATAGCAGTGGTTCTGAATCTTAGAAAAATTTTAATACACACATCTGTTGACTTTCATGCTGTGTACTATTAGGATTTTATAAGATAATTCATCTCCATGTGCAGATGCATTTACACTCAATATTACTTTACGGTAACTTTCTTATCACTACCTTGTGCTTTATGCAGTCATGTTCCACAGCCACCAGGATTCCATGTACTCTCCAGCCAAGATAACTAAAGCCTTCTTCTCACTTTCTGTTTACTCATACCTACACTTAGAATGTTTATTTTACAATCTCCAGTTAATCAAAATGCATCTTTTCTTGTCCCAATCCCCAGAGATGAAGAAACAAAGATGTCGGCTATCATCTTGAATGAAGTATTAGACTCCAGCTGCATGGTTTCAGTGCCCTTATTGCAGCTGGAACCATCCTTGCTTCCCCCCTCCCCACTAAAGAAACCACTAGTGATCCCTGTGTTCTTGTGAATTTCACAGAGCTATCTGCTCTTTATATAAGAGAGGCAGCACTTACCTTCTGGAAATGTCTCAGTAATGTCCGGATTGTAGATCCTCAGCAGGGCAGGAAATAGGGCTTGTCTATTTCATGTAGGAAGAAAAATCTCTCAAAAGTACACAGCAAAGTGTTGAAATCTCATTAAATGTTGAGAATATGTATTATTTACAGAATAACAGGGAAGACAAGGGAGCTGTTTGCAGTAAGTTCCCAACTTCAGCAGTGCTAGCTGTCCAACCCCTTGCTGTCTCCTTGGGGAGAGTTGTGATGAAATCAGACTTTGCCCAGCAGTGTTCAGAGCTTTCGATTTCCCCAGCTTCTAAACCAGAACAGTTCATTTCCTGTTACTAATGTAGTTTCAAGGAAAAAAAAATAACCACAAAAATAGAATTTCTCTTTACTCAGTTATTTTTCTTACAAATATAAGTAGGCACAAATCCCAGCACTGAGCCTTTATATCCAACAGATTCATACGTGGGCCACTGGGAATGTTACACTCATTTTAATGAAGATGAATTCATCAAGAGATAAAAGTGAGTCACTCAGCTATTTCAACCTCCTTTCTTGTCAGATCCTGTTCCTCAAACTTGGTTGAACATTTCCTGGATAGGGAAAGATCTGTGATGAATCACTTTTGTTTAAGCACTTTCCAAAGCATTCATTAATTTATTGATGGTCCCCAGGCCATGAATTTCCAGAGCATAAATTTACAAGAAACATGTAAGTCCAAATTCAGCTAAATAGGAAGTAATTTGCCGTTACTTGCTGTGTGTATTACAGCTAAGCTGTCTTCTTTCAGAGATTAAGATAATGATCCCTTAGGCATCTTTTATGAAAAAACACAATAGATCATGGGCTATCTCTATAAAACTGAACTGAACTTTCTATATAGCACTGACAATATCGAAGCCTTGAAAAATTCTGAACTTTTGGTAGCTTCAGAACCTAGAACAATGGTTTTCTGCCACTGGAGAGTTTCTCTCCGGTTCCCGCCATGTCCCGGCAGTCCCGCAGCCCACTTATAAAATAAACATACAGACTCTTATATTATTTAAACTGTTTGGCCTCATGGCTCGGGCTTCTTGCTAACTGTTCTTATATGTTAAATTAATCCATTTCTATTATTCTATAAGTTGCCATGTGGCTCGTGGTAACCAGTACCTTACATCTCACTTGTCATGGCAGCGGCTGGCAGTGACTCTCAGACTCAGCCTTCCACTTCCCAGAATTCTCCTCTCTACTTGTCCCGCCTATACTTCCTGCATGGCTATTGGCCAATCAGTGTTTTATTTATTAACCAATCAGAGCAACACATTTAACATACAGAACATCCCATAGCAGTTTTCTGACTGATTTTTCCTGTTAAGGACAGTGGACGTTGTCTGCACTATTGGTTACACCAAGGCAGGGAACAAATGACACCAATCAGTGGAGGCTAGTTTGAGAGCTTTAAAGGTGATCCACAAACAGGGTAATGCCATGGATTTCAGTAATAGTAATGGTAATAATCAACAGTAATGCCATCATGTGGCAGGGGTCCACTGATTTGCCTAGATAGATGACATGAATGTATGTTTTCCAAGGGCTGGTGTTTGGCAGTTCTTGTCTCCTTCTGTATGCAACAATCAGGAGACTGGGAAACCTTTCATCTTTCTTAAGTTCTTTCATATTTTAATGTTTTCATTGTGGAAACATTTCCCTTCCTTGGTTACTTTCATTCCAAGACAATGTAATTTCTAGGCTGTTGTTTTGTTTGTTTGTTTGTTTTTCAAGACAGGGTTTCTCTGTGTAGCTTTGCCCCTTTTCTGGAACTCATTCTGTAACCCAGGCTGGCCTCAAACTCACAGAGATCAGCCTGCCTCTGCCTCCTGCGTGCTGGGATTAAAGGAGTGTGCCACCACTGCCCAGCAGACTGTTTTGAATATGATTTTTTTTCCTTGATTTTATTCTTGATATGTTTGTCATTTTTATATAGGAAATCAACTAATTTTTTGTGTTACATTTGTATCCTTATATTTGCTGAATATGTTTATCAACTGTAGGAGATTTCTGGTGATGTCTTCAGGGTATTTAATATAGAATATCATATCATCTGAAAATAATGATGCTTTAAGTTCTTTGTTTTCCTTTTATTGAAAATAGTTTTTGTCCCCACTAATTTTATTTTGTTTTATGACCAGTTTTATTTGTTGTACTTTAGGTCCCTGGACTATCTAATCTCTGGTTCTCTGTTACCCAAGCTGTGTCAGATATGGGTTCCAATTTGTGGAGTGGGCCTTAATTCAAATCAGATATTGGTTGGTTACTCCCAAAAGCTTTGTGTCACCATAGCATTAGTTTATCTTGCAGGGAGGGCACAACTGTAGATCATAGGGCTTGTGGATGTTTTGGTGTTTATGTCTCCCTTTGGTAGTGTGCAGAGCACCTTCCTGTACCATAAATGCTCAAATGTCAGGGTGAAGATTCTATGTAGGCATCAGAATGACTTCTTCATGCTCAATGAGTTGTGTAGGTGTTGCCTTCAGCAATGGGATCTTGTTGTCACTTTGTGGAGAGCAACTTATCTTGATAACACACTACATTGTTTAGAGATGGGACCCCTTTGGTCAACAAATCAATTAGATGTAACCCAGTCTCAGCACTGGAAGTTTTGTTTGGTGATAAGTGATGGCCAATTGGGACTCTGTCTCTCTCATTATTTAGAGATTGCAGTTATATCACTTTCTTATATGTATATATTTTAGAAATTTTCTACTGTTTAGGTTTCCATACTATAGCATGAACAGGTCCTGCACAGGTCTGCACCAGGTTCTCTGCACATATTTTAGATCTTCCTGTTTATGGTTGTTGAAGAATTCCTGAGTGCACTAATGACTGAATCTCTGATTCTTGTGCCTTCTCCTGGGTTCTTTTCCTTCTGTTGACTTATCTTGTCTGACTTTAATGTGATAATTTTTGTTTTATCTTATCATATTTTACTTTTTATATTTTAAAAAAGGATGAAAATTCTGAAAATAGGTATTTTTCACATTATATATTCCTATTACAGCCATCCCTACTTCTCCAATTCCTTCCTAGCCATCCAAATCGATCCCCTCATTTTGTGTCTAGTCAGAATACAAACAGGCATCTAAGGAATCATAATAAAATAAAAAGCAATACATTCGAAGGTTTTGGGAATGTCAGATGCTTTCAGTGTGGAGAAACTTTGGATGACTCTCCAGGCTGCCAGCTGTCTCTCCCAATAGTTGCTTGCATCATTCTCTGATTTCTCAGGGTAATATTATATCCTTCCATGGTCTTTGATATATTTGAAGACTAGATAGTTATAATTTCCTTAGTTGTGATAAAAGATAAGTTACATATAAATGCTTAGACTCACAAATATAGGGTAGATAGGTTATCTTCTTTAATTTTGCCAAATATAAATAGACTAGATATTATAACTATAATTCTTGCTTGATAATTGTTTTGCTATATGTAATTTTACTATGTTATAGGTAAAACCTTACTTTTTGAAAAGAAGGAAAGGGGAAGTATTCTGTGAATGTGTTGCTATGATTGATTGATAAATAAAACATTGATTGGCCAGTAGCCAGGCAGGAAGTATCACATAGGCAGGATAAGCTGAGAAGAGAATTCTGGGAAGTGGAAGCCTGAGTCAGGAGATGCTACCAGCCACCACCATGAGAAGCAAGATGTACAGTACTGGTAAGCCACAAGCCATGTGGCAACTTATAGATTAATAGAAATGGGTTAATTTAAGGTATAAGAACAAGATAGCAAGAAGCCTGCAGGAGCCAGGTAGACACAGGAAAAGTCCAGCTACACTATGACAAAATAACCAAAAAAGAAAATGTAAAAGAAACACATACAGACACTGAGACACACACATTCTCTCACACAGGAATCCCCTAAAAAACCTAAACCAAAATCCATAATGTATACAAAAAGGACCTGTAAGACAAAAAGAAAAAAAGTCCCTGACTTAAAAATATGAGACAAAAATATCCAATGATCGTGTTGAGTTTGTTTTGTGTTGGCCATTTACTACTGAGCATGGGCACTACCCTTAAGAGTGGTTTGTTTCTCCCTTGGAGAAAACTAATTATTCATTTGTAAATGCCTATCAATTGTGGATAGCTTCTGGGACAGGAATGGGGGAACTTGTCCACTTCTTTAAACTCTATGATCCCACCTGGTACAGACCCATCCTGGCCCTGTGCCTGCTGCCAGAGTCTCTCTAAGTTCATATGTGTGCCAGTCTTGTGTCTAGAAGGCCTTGTATTCTTGGTGTCCTCCATACTCTCTGGCTCTTACACTCTTTCCACCTCCTCTTCTGCAGGGTTCCCTGAGCCCTGAAGGGAGAGACTTGATGGAGACATCCCATTGATGGTTGAGTGTTTCAAGGCCTCTCACATGTGCGTATTGTCTGGTTGTGGGTATTTGTGCCTACCTGCTGCAGGAGGAAGCATCTCTGATAATGTCTGAGCAAAGAACTGATCTATGGGTACAGCAGAATGTGTTTGGAGTTATTCACTTGGCACATCCCTTTTGCCGAAGTGTAGTATTTGGTTTTCTCATAGTTTGCTGGCCGATCTTGTCTATGGTTCATGGCCAGCCGAGCAGCATTTGATATGGTTCTAGCTCATAGATTTGACCTTAACTCAAATCATATATTGGTTCCTTACCTCCACAAGTTTTGTGCCAGAGTTATAGTAGCGTATCTTGCAGGCAGACCACTTTTGGAAATGGACTGGTTTATAGGCGGGCTGGTGTTTATCTTTCTACTTTGGTATTGTGTGCAGAGTATATTCCAGTACCTTGAATATTATTAGTAAACTGAGGTGAAGGATCAAGGTAGTTAATTCTCTATTTCTCTGTGTTTAGTGAGTTGTGTAGGTGTTTTCTTCAGCAACAAGACTTTACTGTCAGTTTGTGGGGAGCCATCAATATTATTGACAATAACCTGGGTCCTTTTTGGGTTCCTTTGTGATCCCTTTAGCCAGAAACTCAAATAGATACAGCCCATTCTCAGTACTTCATTTGGTAATGAGCATTGTTCAGTTGGGGTGCTGTCTCCTTCATTATTTGGTGATTTCATTTACATTACATTCCTATTTGTATACACTGAAGAAAGCTTCAACTGTATTAAGTTTCTCTATGACCCCTCTAATGGCCCTTAGTTTTCACTGTCCATCCATGTAGTCCATTCTTTGCTCCTCTCTACCTTCCTTTGCT